TCAAGAACCAGAAAAATGTATTATAAGGAATAATTTAATTAAAATTCAAACAAAAACTTTTTTTTAAATACAAAACAAAAAATTAAGAAGCGAAACTAAGTATTTAAATAAAGTTATTTTATTTAAAACAATTCAAAGCCCATCAAACAATTTAATTTAATTACAAAGGTAGATTTTTTAATTTACAAAGTTAAAAAATGAATGTTTTTTGTTAATAATTCTGACGTCCATGAATTTCATGAGTGGAAATTATATATATATATATATATATATATATATATATATATATATATATATAAAAATATATTAAACACTAATATTCCATGGTCATAATTTATTCCATTGGAATCGTAAATACGATCAAATTCAACAGACCTACAATTTTTTTTTTTTTGAATTTGTAGGTCTGATGAATTGATCGTGATTACGATTCCAATGTAATAAATTATGACCATGGAATATTAGTGTTTAAGCCTTTTTATTATATCCTTTACTCTGTCCTGGACATTGACTTCTACCTGGATTCTATCCTCTTGGGATTTTTATTCAAAATATATATATATATGTGTATGCATCTATTTATATATATTTATATATTTTGTATATGTGTGTATATTTTACCACTAATATTATTTATCTATCTAATATCTATCTATCTATCTATCTATCTATATATATATATATATATATATATATATATATATATATATATATATATATATATTATATAATTATTTTTGAATGATAGATTCATAAAAGTGTTACAAAATGAACTCGTCGCTACACTTCTTCTGGCATCTTTAATATGAGCACATTTTGTGAAAGGCACAAAACGTTGTTACCGAATTAATCTCTACATAAATTTTGCTTGTCCATAATATTTATTTTAAACTGACGCAAAATAAAATGACAACACTATGAACGTCTGCACCAATAGAGCAAATCGATCTTGGAACTGTGCTATTGCACTCAGTTTGAAATTTGGTGTTTGACATGATAAATAAGGAACATGATATTTTTTTCCTAATCGTTACTGTTTCTTAAGGAACCGAGTTTAAAAGATTAAGATTAATTTCCAAATCGTAGCGGTGGAATTTCATTCCGATGATCAGTGAAAACCTTATACCACATCCTTATAAAATTTATAATTTACTGAAGCTTCACAAATTGTATATAGGCAAGACGTATGTCACAAGCATATTATTACTAAATCAGTTTACCATCAAATAAGACCTTCATTTACTTCAAAGGGAAAGTATGCTGATGAATTTAGCTATATTATGATGTCATATGTTATGCAGTGGTTTTTGTGTGATTTTCAAAAAACAATGTAAATTTTAAAATATTCTGTGAAATAATTTTCACTCAATAGTACTGCAGTGTTGTATACACTTTTATTTATTATTTTTTTTGTTTTATTAATTATGATCTAACAAATGTTATTCATTGAATAGCCATTTTTGTCGGGTAGCTGTTTCCCGAGACAAGACTCTGTTTTCGACAGAGCCTCGTCTGGAGATCCTCTTTGCCAGAAAGCAGAGAGTTTAACCAGCACAGCTGGAGACGAGTCCCCAAATGCAAGACACCTACCAGCCGCCTCACCCGGTCAGATGTGGCACAAGACCGAATTTAATGTGGGGTATCCGAGCCCGTAGGCTCGGCCTAAAATTCCCCGTTGCAAATCCTTATCTGTTCCAGTCATTAAAGACACAGGAAAACCGTGTGACCCGTCGGACTATTCGCTTTCTACCTCTTTTTCACAAACCACCAGAGGCCTTAATCAACTCTGAATTGGTTAATCATCTCACCTCACAGGGCCTTCTTCCAGACACGCAATATGGCTTCGGCTTCTCTAGGTTAACTGCTGATGTGTCAACGAATACTGCTGAAAGAGTTTATCAAGCTTTAGATAAAAAAAAAATGGTGGAACTCGGGCTGTTCCATCGGACATCTCGAAAGCCTTTGACAGGATTTGGCTTACGGGTCTTCTTCAAAAGTTGAAAGGTTATGGTATTTCCGGATGAATTTTTGAAGTGATCCAGTCTTTCTTATCAAATCGCGAAATGAAAATTGACCTGACCGGACACTCTTCCGATTCTTTTGAAACTAATGCAGGTCTCCACCGAGGTGGGGGTGGGAGGCTCTATCCTTGGACCTACTTTGTTCTTAATTTTTATCAAGACCTTCCTGATGACATCAGTTCTCAAACTTGGTACCTACGCTGGTGACAAAACCATTTACTCCTATCTCAATAATAAATGCAATCAGTTTGATAAGGTGAAATTGGCAGCTGTTTTACTGCGGCAAGACATCTTAATTTTGACGCTTCCAAAACGAAACTTCCCTCTATTAATAAAGATTTTTTTTTCTACCTCCTATCAGCATGGCTGATGGCAACATCCAGGAGAGTGACGTGCTGCCTTTCCAGGCTAACATTTTCGGCTAACATGAAGTGAAAAGATTATATTGAATCCATTGCTAGGTCTGCTGCTAAGAAAGTTGGTTCACAGTGTCATGCTTGACATTTTTTCCCGCCAGAATCTATCTTACGCATTTAAAAGTCAACCCTTTGTCCATGCTTTGAATATTGCTGCCACATCTGGTTTGGTGCTCCTGCTCTATATTTAGAGATTCTTTATAAAATCCAAAAAAGAATCAGTAATATTATTGGTCGTCTCTTTCCCACCGACGACAAGTACCTTTCCTGTGCCTTTTCTATAAATACTTTCATGGCAATTGTTCGGTTGAAGTCTTCTCTATGGTACCTAGACTTTATGAATTTAAGCACAGTACTAGATTGGCGGATAGGTCTCATCAATTCACAGTTGAATTGGCTAGATGTAACCATAAGTTCTATGCTAACAGTTTCTTCTATCGCACTTCTCACTTGTGGAACCCTCTTCCGGAGCCGCGCTTTCCAGCCAATTTGGATGCTCAAAAATTTGAATGTAATGTCAATCGTTATCTACTGTCCTCTTGATTACTCTTCTATTGTTCTTGCTCCTTAATAATGTTTCTCTTTTGATTTTTGTTATGGGATCTTACCCATAAAAATAATAATGGACTATTACATACTTAATAAATACTGCGCCTCAGGAGTAGGCAGAGTCAGTCGAATCAGTAGTTCAAGTCGAGTCAAGAGTCGAGTCAGAGGCAGTCCAAAACAGAGTCGCGTTCAGATCATTACTGCAAGACATTGGAATAGTGATACTGGTCGAGACTACATTGTTCTCTCTACTAAACCTGATTGTTCATACTAACACTTCTACTTCTCTGTATATATTCCTGTTTGTAATATATCTGTGTTATTCCATACCTGTGTTCGCGTTCTTCTTTATTCGTTCTACCTTGTACTATTACCGTGGTACAAGGAACCGGACCATAACAGTGGCGACGAGCGATTCGAACTCATTCGGTGGAAGAAAAAAATTTTTTTCGTTTGCCACAGCATAACAGTGGCGACGAGGAAACCAACTCTCTACGCGGAGGACATACCTTTTTTTGATATCCGTGGCGCATAACAAGTGGCGACGAAGATTCGAACTCTCACGTGAAGAACAAACAACAAAAGGTATGAAGATCTATATGATTTTGACTGCAAAGTTTGGTCAGACGCACGGAAAATACGCCTTTTATTAAGAAAATTAGGCACAGGCGAATATACCAAATTCGTTGAATATATCCTTCCCAGACCATAACAATTTTCTTATTCTTTCACTTGGTAAACCCTTGTGTCTTAGTGGCTTAGTGAAATGTCTTTTTTTTTTTAAAAAAAAAGAGTATATATTTAAAATCAGAAAAGTGGAAGAGATGGAAGACGGATATTGAAGTAGTTTTAGGCAGAGTAGAAGTAGAGGGAAAGAGAGTAAGGCTTATTAGAATGAACAAGGAAAAGGACGGAGAATAAGGGAGAGTAAGGCCAAGGAGAATGAAGAAAGTAGTGTAAGGAAAGAAGGAAGAGTAAGGTAGAAAGGAAAGAATACGGAGATGGAAGGAGTGTAAGGTTGAGTAGAAGGAAGAAGGAGAAATAAGGAGAGTATGGCGGAGAAGAAGGAAGAAGAAAAAATCGAGAAGGAAGAAGGGTAAGGCGGGAAAGAAGAAAGAGAAATAAGCAGTGTTTGGCAGCGTAAAAAAGGAGAGCAATAAAAGAAAAGGAGGAGATTAAACGGTGTAGAAAAAGGAGAAGTATGAAGGAGAAGGGAGGAGAGTAATTTAGAGTTGTCAAAAAAGAGAGAAGAGTAAGGAGAAGAAGAAGAAAGCGCAGGAGAGAAGATCGAGTAAAATGAAGGAGAAACGAAGGAGAAGTGGAAAATGGATAAAAAGGGGAAGGATGAAAAGAAAGTAAAGAAAGAAAGAAAGAAAGCAGAATATTTAGTAAAATAATATAATCTTTAGATTATAAAGAAGAGGAAAGAAAGATAGAGATAATTTTGTTATAAAAGAAAGAAGACAAAGAAAGCAAGAAAAGAGGAAGAAAAGAAAAGAAATAAGAATGTATAAAAGAAAGAAAGGAAGGAAAGAAGGAAGAAAGGAAGAGATAAAAGAATATTAATATGGCTAAAAGCGAAAAGCAAAAAAAAAGAAAGCAAATCACAAATGTCAAGGAAAAAAAGAAAAAAAGCAAACAAAATATGAAGAAAAAAAAAAAAAAAAAGATTGAAAGTAAACCGGTAGAAGAAACACTTGATGAAAGAAAGAAAGAAAGAAAGAAAGAAAAGAAAGAAAGAAAGAAAAGAAAGAAAGAAAGAAAGAAAGAAAGCAAAGAAAGAAAGAAAAGAAAGAAAGAAAAAAGAAAGAAAAGAAAAGAAAGAAAAGAAAGAAAGAAAGAAAACCTAAGAAAGAAAGGAAAAAAGAAAGAAAGAAAGAAAGAAAGAAAGAAAGAAGGCAAGGCAAAGAAAGAAAGAAAGAGAAAGAAAGAAAGAAAGAAAGAAAGAAGGCAAGGCAAAGAAAGAAAGAAAGAAAGAAAGAAAGAAAGAAAGAAAGAAAGAAAGAAGGCAAGCCTAAGAAAGAAAGAAAGAAAGAAAGAAAGAAAAAAGAAAGTAAAGAAAGAAAGAAGGTAAGCCTAAGAAAGAAAGAAAGAAAGAAAGAAAAGAAAGAAAGTAAAGAAAGAAAGAAGGTAAGCCTAAGAAAGAAAGAAAGAAAGAAAGAAAGAAAGAAAAGAAAGAAAGTAAAGAAAGAAAGAAGGTAAGCCTAAGAAAGAAAGAAAGAAAGAAAGAAAGAAAGAAAGAAAGTAAAGAAAGAAAGAAGGTAAGCCTAAGAAAGAAAGAAAGAAAGAAAGAAAGAAAGTAAAGAAAGAAAGAAGGTAAGCCTAAGAAAGAAAGAAAGAAAGAAAAGAAAGAAAGAAAAAGAAAGGCAAAAAGAAAGAAAGAAAAAGAAAGAAAGAAAGAAAGAAGGTAAGAAAGAAAGAAAAAAGAAAGAAAGAAAGAAAGAAAGAAAGAAAGAAAGAAAGAAAAAGAAAGAAAGAAAAGAAAGAAAAGAAGAAAGTAAAGAAAGAAAGAAGGTAAGCCTAAGAAAGAAAGAAAAGAAAGAAAGAAAGAAAGAAAGTAAAGAAAGAAAGAAGGTAAGCCTAAGAAAGAAAGAGAAAGAAAGAAAGAAAGAAGGTAAAGAAAAAAGAAAGAAAGAAAAGAAGGGTGTAAAGAAAGAAAGAAAGAAAGAAAGAAAGTAAAGAAAGAAAGAAAGAAAGAAAAGAAAGTAAAAGAAAGAAAGAAAGAAAGAAAGAAGGTAAGCCTAAAAAGAAAGAAAAAGAAAAGAAAGAAAGAAGGTGTTTCAAGAAAGAAAGAAAAAAGAAAGAAAGAAAAAGAAAGAAGGCAAGCCTAAGAAAGAAAGAAAGAAAGAAAAAAAGAAAGAAAGAAAGAAGGTAAGCCTAAAGAAAGAAAGAAAGAAAGAAAGAAAGTAAAAGAAAGAAAGTAAAGAAAGAAAGAAGGTAAGCCTAAAGAAAGAGAAAGAAAGAAAGAAAGAAAGAAAAGAAAAAGAAAGAAGGCAAGCCTAAGAAGAAAGAAAGAAAGAAAGAAAGAAAGTAAAGAAAGAAAGTAAAGAAAGAAAGAAGGTAAGCCTAAGAAAGAAAGAAAGAAAGTAAAGAAAGAAAGAAGGTAAGCCTAAGAAAGAAAGAAAGAAAGTAAAGAAAGAAAGAAGGTGTAAAGAAAGAAAGAAAGAAAGAAAAGAAAGAAAGAAAAGAAAGAAAGAAAGAAAGAAGGTAAGCCTAAGAAAGAAAGAAAGAAAAGAAAAAGAAAGAAAGAAGAAAGAAAGAAGGGAAGCCTAAGAAAGAAAGAAAGAAAAAAGAAAGAAAGAAGGAAAGTAAAGAAAAGAAAGAAGGTAAGCCTAAGAAAGAAAGAAAAAAAAGAAAGAAAGAAAGCAAAGAAAGAAAGAAGGTGTTTAAGAAAGAAAGAAAGAAAGAAAGAAAGTAAAGAAAGAAAGAAGGTAAAAAGAAAGAAAAAAGAAAGAAAGAAAGAAAAGAAAGAAAGAAAGAAGGCAAGAAAGAAAGAAAGGAAAGAAAGAAGAAAGAAAGAAAGAAAGAAAGAAGGTGTTTCAAGAAAGAAAAAAAAAGAAAGTAAAAGAAAGAAAAAAGAAAGAAGGCAAGCCTAAAAGAAAGAAAGAAAGAAAGAAAGAAAGTAAAGAAAGAAAGAAGGTAAGCCAAAGAAAGAAAGAAAAGAAAAAAAAGAAAGAAAGAAAAAGAAAGAAGGTGTTTCTAAGAAAGAAAGAAAAGAAAGAAAGAAAGTAAAGAAAGAAAGTAAAGAAAGAAAGAAGGTAAGCCTAAGAAAGAAAGAAAGAAAGAAAGTAAAGAAAGAAAAGAAAGAAAGAAAGAAGGTGTCAAGAAAGAAAGAAAGAAAAGAAAGAAAGAAAGAAAGAAAGTAAAGAAAGAAAGAAGGTAAGCCTAAGAAAGAAAGAAAGAAAGAAAGAAAGTAAAGAAAGAAAGTAAAGAAAGAAAGAAGGTAAGCCTAAGAAAGAAAGAAAGAAAGAAAGAAAGTAAAGAAAAAAAAGGTAAAAGAAAGAAAGAAAGAAAGAAAGAAAGAAAGAAAGTAAAGAAAGAAAGAAAGAAAGAAAGAAGGTAAGCCTAAGAAAGAAAGAAAGAAAGAAAGAAAG